TCTTTCTAGACACTTTAGGCTAGATGCCAGTGTTTCCATTTGAGTATTAAGTGCTTGGCCAGGTCAAAAAGAAATTGTTGATAAAGCATCTAATGCGATGCCAAGAACCCAGCAGTACTCATCATGCTGTAATTGATGATGAGGCCCAACAGTTGAGCAATCTGTTGGTTTAATATTCTTGAACCGTAGTGTAGGTTCGCTGACATATCTTTTGCTCAAAATTAGGAGGCTTTTGTTACTTACTAGCTGTGTCATCTTGGGGCACATTCCCCCTGCTCTCTTGGCTTCAGATGTCTCATCTGTGATGAGGTTAAACTGGATGATCTCTATTTTCCTTGGAGTCCTGATAAGGCATGATTTCTTTCTACCATCAGAGTGACTGAGGGCTGGAATAAACAAAATCCCCGTCATAAACAAGTGTTCTCCCTCACAGCAATCTGGCTTCAATATAACTGGAATGGAGAGATAATAGAGATCAACATAATTACGTGGCATAAAAATCAGATCTTTGCAACGTTGACCATTTTAGCATACCAGCCCAATCTACTAGAGAATTGTGAGTTTTAACTTTCACATTTGTGAGTTTGATTCCTGCCAACCTTATGTCCTAAAGTGATACTGACTTTTTTTTTTTCATTAAAGTGATTGACTGATTTTGTAAAGGTAGCCATTGACAAGGCCTGGTTTTTGGGGAATCAGTGTGACATGTTGTTGACTCAAAGATCATTTCTTTAGTAGACACTACTATGCTTCACTTATTACAAGGAGGTTGCTTCCCAGCTTCACCACCGAGGATCCTTTTAATTATTTGTCTTTATGAACTCTGGGTTATGAGTAATTACAACTATTAAGCTATATTTATTAAATAGTAGCTTATTTCTCAGACTCGGTTAAGGAAACAGTGTTTAACCACTGCTCAGAGCTTTTGATCAGTGAGCTATGCAATGTAATCAAAAGTTGGTATCATTCCGGCTAAAAAGAAGTGTATGTGATATTTTAATTAGCTCTGCCATAGGTAAGTGTAAAATTTCTGTTAGGAATTTGGAAATCAAATATCTTGGAAAACTCCCAGATGCTTGAAAGAGATTCCTCGTGAGCCACAGATTACAGTTTGGGAGCTTAATGCATATATTAGGGAACAGTCAACCTAATAATAATAAAATTGTAGTCTGTGGATAATGATGATGGTTGTTATTGCTCATACATATGGGCAATGTGTATACCAGAACTGGCTTTAACCACTGTATACATTTAATCCTTTATTCCTGAGCTACAGAGAGGTAAAATTACTTACCCAGGGACACACAGGTAGGAACTGGTGGCGTTTGAACCCGGGAAGGTTTGAGGAGTTGGGGGTGAGGACTACTGTTCATAACCTATCAGTGGGCAAAGAGAGCGCTTTGGTAAATGAATAAGAGAAGGAGAGGTGTTGACATTTATACTGGCAGAGTCTTAAATTGCTAGAATATGGGAAGGCATCAGATCTGTGTGTGGGGAAACGTTTGAGGTGCCGAGATAGAGTTGGAGACAGGGCACTCTGCAGGTTAGTACCCAAGTTTGTGCATTTGAGTTGAGGATTCTGTGAAGGCTAGAAGTTGGGCCAACAAATAATTTGTTGGTCAGAGTGGTGAATTCCAAGTGGCCAACCTGTTTGGTGGGGGTGGAAGGGGGTGGGGAATGGGAAGTGGGGTAGAGGAGGATATCGCCATTTTAAGGCTGGGAACAAGGGTTGAAAAAGGGGGAAATGGCTCGCACTAGACAATTACATATATGTGATAAGGTAGAAGAAGGGAGAGTGAGGAGAAAAGCTAATTTTTGAGTTAATAACTGATGTTCTACTAGAGTTTCAGGGCCTTTAAACCTCTGTGGAGTAGGGATTTGTGGCAATTCTATACCACAGAATGCCACAAAACCCAGGATATTGGGATTCCAGGGTAAGGACGTTAGCAATTTAAGACAATGAAATGTTGAGGGTGGTTGGGGGCCATAAACCCAAGGATTTGAAAGGTAAATCTCTGGAGATGATAAACACTAATCCCCTTTGCACTCCAAGTCAATCACAATTTTAGTCCCCGGGACAGTGCAAATGGGATTGGAGGTCGGGGACAGGGTGGTGAATAAGGGGGAGGCCGCCGGGGCAGAAATTTGGGGCCTCCCTTCCTAGCTTTAACTGGAACAGTTCCCATTTTATATGGAGGGTTTTTATATATGTTCTCGTCAGATAAAGGCGTTCCAAACTGAAAGAAAAAGGCAAACCCGCTAGGGGGGACAAGGTTGTGGAACCTCTAAAAGGTGGTCTAGTAGGGTCCCCTTTGGCTTTTGGCCTTTTTAGAAGAGAGGGACAGACACGAGCAAGGATGTTTTGACTGCGAGATTGGGAAGGGCCAACACCTAGTAATCAGGCATTCTCTACTGTGAAACCAGTAACAGCAACAGATGATAATAGGATAAGGCAGTTATGAATCTCAGAGCTCCTGCAGCCGAAACACACGCAGGGTCCAGGTGATCTGTTCCTCTGAGGCCAGGGATCCTGAGTTCAGAAGGACCAATCACAGACTGGCCCCTGAAATCAGGAATGTCTGATAGCTTATTCCACACGGGAAGTGTTTTATGTTGATTTAAGTAGAAGAAGACACGTTTCCTTCACAGAAAGGAAAGGTTTTACTGCAATCGCATGTTTGCTTGAAAAGACTTTTATTAATTTATTTGTTCAGCAAATACTTAATGAGCACACACACACAAAATACTTAATGTGCACCAACCGTGTGCTCTGAATCCAGAATCTCGAACGTACAAAATTGGGAGGCTGATTTGTTTAACATAAGCTTCCACCCTGAGGAATTTCTGAAACTTGCAAGTCCTGCTTTAGGTGGTACCTGTAGAGTAAGGGTGATTTTTTTTTTTTTTTAGTCTACTTCCAATGGATATTTAAATACCTACACAGAACGAAGAGAGCAGTAGAATTTGTAGATTGTACATCACGGAATTAAAGAACCTTAGAAATCGGGGTACCTGGCTGGCTCAGTCGGTGGAGCATGGGACTCTGGATCTCGGGGTTGTGAGTTCAAGCCCCATGTTGGGTGTGGAGCTTACGTAAAAAGAAATTAAAAATAAATAAAGAACCTTGGAGATAAAGTGGCCCATTTGCTGTATTTTACAGGTCAGAGAGTCAGACAGACTTGGATTGTAAACTGTTTAACCTAGGGCAGGTCACTTAACCTCTCTGAGCCTCAGGTTCCTCATAGGTAATGTGGGGGTAATAGCACTTGCCTTATAGAAATATGGTAAGGATTACATAAGGTGATTTATATGAAGTTCTTAGTGCAGTGTCTAACATGCTCCATATTTTTTACTGTTATTGTGATCACTGTTTTCCGAGTCAAGGGAACTGAAGCCCAGAGAGGGGAAGCGACTGGCCCAAGGTCACACAGCTTGTTGACATTAGGACAAATATTAGAACTCAGATCTCTCTTAGTAGTCAAATACTCCTCATACTACCCCACTCATTTTACTCCTTTGGAGGAGGTAATGTAAACTTCCCAGGCTTGTGAGAAATATTTTGCTTCATCCAAGTAGAAGGAGAGAGAAGTATGGCAAAGAAATGGCTGACATAAAATTCAAGGGACGCCTGAGTGGCTCAGTCGGTAAAGCGTCCAATTCTTAGTTTCAGCTCAGGTCATGATCTCAGGGTTGTGGGATTGAGTCCCACATCGGGCTCTGTGCTCAGTGGGGAGTCTGCTTGAGGTTCTCTCTATCTCCTTCTGCCCGCTTCTCCCTCTAAAATAAATAAATCTTTTAAAAAAAACAAAAAAGAAAGAAAAGAATTCCTGGACCCAGAAAACAAAATAGCAAGGGATAAATGGAGAGCAAAGGAGAAACAATAGTTTCTAGAAATTTTAAATAGCAATATTGGAGCATTATAATGTCTGGTGAATCACAAGGACTGATCTCCATCCTTATTCCTTTATTCATCACAAACATTTCAGTGAAATTGATGAGGCTTTTCCTTTTTCTTGGGGATAGAGGTGGGGAGGTAGTTCGGAATGCATATGTGTTTCACAGAACCTTACTGTGACTTCAGCCTCACTAAACAATTGCTATTTGCAAAAGCAAAGTACCCCTATAATTGAAGGTAGAATGGAAGTGTGAGTACTTCCAAGGCCTAACCAACAATAGATTTTTAAAGGATGGTGGGCTGGAAGGAAACCTCATAGTAGAAGCTGCTGAGAAATTTAGAAAAAGGAAAAAAAACAGTGAAGTCATGTTGTCCATTGCTTTGTGTGGCTACAGCAATAGGTAAGTACAGCACCGAGTGTGATTGATTTGTTAGGTGAAAATATTCTTTTTTTTAGGTTATTTATTTATTTATTTATTTTTGAGAAAGACACAGCGAGAGAAGGAACACAAGCAGGGGAAGTGAGAGAGGGAGAAGCAGACTCCCCTCTGAGCAGGGAGCCCGATGCGGGGCTCGATCCCAGGATGCCGAAATCATGACCTGAGCCGAAGGCAGACATTTCCCCGACTGAGCCACCCAGGCGCCCCTAGGTGAAAATATTCTTAAGAATTATAAATCTATGGGGAAAAAAAGCTACTCTGTCCGTATGCTAAAAGGAAAGATTGATTTATACAGTTGCCTAAAAAAGAGATGATATATTCTTTCCTAAATGGTACTTCAGTTTAATCAGAGGACTGCAGTGTTGTTTGTTGCAACACCCAAGGAGTATTCAGAATATTCCAGGAGTTTCCTAAAAGGAGCAAAGCTATTTTACTCAGTTCATGACTGCAGAAAGTCTGACTGGAGTTCCTAGCCCACCAAAAGGGATACACTGAGACTGTCTCAGGTGTAATTACCACACAAAACAGTTGTCCCTTTGTTATTTCATCCTTGAAACTTTAGTTTGCCGATTTCCCTCTCCTAAAAATAAGTACACCTTATTTCAAATAAAGTATATGGATAACACCTGGATTGCTTATTCATTTGATAACTTTCACCTTCACAGGGCATCAGGTACTGTTTACACAGCGCTAGACATCGCCACAGGACAAGAGGTGAGTGCTCACATTCGATCCTGATTTCTGCTGTCGTTTCATTCGTATCAGTCACATTTCTTCTTTGATGGCAGCTATGCCTTACAAAATGGGTGGCACTGGGTTGACGTAGGAATCGATTCCATCAATGTCCAAAGTTTCTGAAGTGGGTGGTTTACTTCTGATTGAGCAAAGAAAAGGGCATGAGTTTGCGGCGCTGAGAAAGAGGCTAGTAAGATAAAGAAGGTTTATGCCTTACTCTGTGTACCAAAAAAAAAAAAAGCAAAAACAACACCAAAAACACATACACAAAAAAACAAAAACGAAACCATGGATGTGTGTGTTTAATGACTGTAACTCATTCTTGCATTATCTTTCAGGTGGCCATAAAGCAGATGAACCTTCAACAGCAGCCCAAAAAGGAATTAATTATTAATGAAATTCTGGTCATGAGGGAAAATAAGAACCCCAATATTGTTAATTATTTAGATAGGTAAGTGTTTTCTCTCATTACGTACCGGCTTTCTTTATGTGACGACGTCATTGGCTTGGCAAAGTATTTTATTTAGGATCTAGTCATGTAGCAACCATTCTACAAATACTTCTCAAAGGCTACAGAATAGGGAGTCTCACATCTATTGCTCAACATTGCCCACCCATCAAACATTTGAAGACACATTTTATGGTTCTGCTTCTAAGCATGAACAGTTTGTGTAATTTCCTTTTGAGGATCGTGACTCCGTGTTGGCAGGAAATAGACTGTTGCGTACAGGGGAGAGTCTCGGTGTTTTAAACCTTTCACCAAGTGTTTGGAGCCGGTACAATCTCTGGGTTTGTGAGTGAAGAAGGCTGGCTGCACCAGCCCCGCTTTAATGGGTGCTTTGTGATTAACTGACAGTGAGGTCTAGGGAATTGAGACTTTAATCTCAAACCTTTTTCCTGGACCAGGTAATTAATGTCTCTTTCATCAGTGGTATTAGCGGTGGGTTATAAATAGGCATTTAAAGACAGCGCTAACTCTTCACTTGTGGTTAACATCTGTCTCATTCAATTTCAGTAAGTGTTTGCTTAGCACCACTGTGCTGTGTACTCTCGGGGGATATAAAGGAAATAAGATGAGGTCTCCAACCTCAATGAGCTTAAAATCTTGCTTTCTGTGTTTTGTGCCAGGTGGACCAGAGAAAGAGGGGAAAGGGGGAGTAAAAAAAAAAAAAAAAAAAGTCAAATTTTACGGCCGAAATCCGAGCTTCATAAAGTGCCACTTATGGGCTATCTGCAGTAAAGTGACTCCACTCTGCTTTTTTAATTTTGTAAAAATTGCCTTTGTAAAAAAAAAAAAAATGTAGATTTCTCAGATGCTTTCTTTACTAATAAGCTAGAGCCTGTGAATGTTCATTTTTACCAGGCTTCCCAGGTGAATCTCAAGGGCACTGCAGTTTGAGCATCACTGGATAGAAAGTCTTGCTTCATATTGATGTGGAACTTAGGGCAGGATGGAATCTTTGGGGTCATTCCATTCACCGTAATTCCTCTCTTGCTGACAGGGGGAAAGAGAGACCTGATCATGCTGCTAATGTGCCTTCAGATGGTTCCAGATGTTTTGAATTTGCCCAGTTGTCGGGCTCTGGTGACCTTCCTCCCCATGTTTGATCACTTGGGGTGTGTTCCTCAGTAACCACCTAAAGAAAATGGGCACATTGCTACTGACTTCTAATAGGACCACGACCTCAGCAAAGTACATCCATTGCAAACATGAGTCTCTTTGATTCTGAAACTGCTCGAAAGCATTTCAGCAGTTAATTCAGTAGAATCAAAAATAATGCTGAGATCTGAATAAATATCTTATAAATCTGTACTCCAGGGGCCAGTTCAGTCGAAGACGTCAACACAATGGCTCAAGTTATCTAAAATGGCTAGTCACTGATCCCATTCATTGCAAGAAGCTTTTACAGTGGAATGAGAGGCAGTATTCAGTCACCAGAGGCCTCCTTGCTCTTTTCCTTCCTCCATGGTATACAGTTAGGTCTGATGATCCTTTGGTTTTCACGCATATTCTCTTCTTTTTTTTTTATTTTATTTTATTATGTTATGTTAATCACCATACATTACATCATTAGTTTTTGATGTAGTGTTCCATGATTCATTGTT